AACACTCAACCTAATTTAGTTGCTGGAAGAATATGGGTTGTGTCCATGCATGGAATACAGTGTTCAACAGGTCATGTTATTTTTAATTCATATAGAGTCCACCAGAAATTCAGCAATGCTGGATTAGTTTCCTGCGGAAAGGTTTTCTCTGAAGAACAATTAATTGCGTGCCCTCAGTCTCAGCTGATGTAAAAAGTGGTCAACTGGAAAGTGATTCTGTAATTTCTGAAAAATAAAAGAGAGTTGAAAGCACTGTCCATTATGTGACTTAAGACCTCTTCTCAAATAAGCCACACAATACATTTGTCCTGGAATTAAGCGGAAGAGGTTATCAAATGTTTTATTTTCCTATCAACAAAACATGGTGAAACATCTGAATGAAGAGAATGTCCACCATTGCCCATATATAATTTCTCACAAAGGTTCCTCTTCCACGAGATTATAGGACTATTTTCCTGATTCCAATTGAAAACAATAGAAAGATTAAAGGTGGATTAGAGACAGGTCAGCCAAGCAGTTAAGAATATGGACTTTGGAGTGAGATAGACTTCGGTTGAAACGTGCGATAGAATCCAGCCAACGTTCTTTTCATCTCATTATTTCAAGCTTCATTTTAATCTAAAAAATGGGAATAATAAGTAAAACTGCAAATTTTAGCTCTCAAGGTTAAATGAAATAATATATGTAACCCATCAGAATAGCATCTGTATAAATTATTGCTTAATTATTATTATCATTAGAGTGAGAAAATCAAATTTACAAAATATGTTTCTTACAGAAATTAAAATACAAAAAAGCACAGTCAACCAGTGGTCTTCATTTTCAATTAAAATGCTAGATTTAAAATGCCGTGGTCACCTGAGATGAACAAACTGGGGCTCCTTGGGGTGCATCAAAGAACCCAGGTTAGAAACCGGAAGTTTCTGTTTTAGCTTCCTAGTCATAAGCTTGCAGAAAGACTAAGAGAAGACTCCAGTGGATTAAAGAGTCACCCACTACTGAACGTAAAATTTCAAAACATACAGAAGAAAATTCCATGAGCTCCACTTCCCACTGCAAAGATCCTGAACCCTCACTTCCCTACCTCCACCTAGGAAAACAAGAAGATTGCCAGCTCTCGTGCTTCGTGGTTCTAGATTCAGAAAAGAAATGATTAAATCACAGAATTAATTTCTTTCTTTCAGAAGGATCCTAGAGATGCTCAAAAGTACTCTGAAAATAAATTTATTTTTAAATATTTAAGAAGATAAAAGGATAGACAGAAAAGTATGGAGCGATTCAGACGAACTTGAGTTCAAACTTAACCAGCTAGTGTCACGAAAAGTTAAAAACTGAGCACAGTGTCTAATACATAGTAGGTAATCAAAATGGGGGTGGAGTCGGTAATACTGCTAGCATATTTATTATAATTGTCAACTTTGGCATGTAGGTTAGATTAATACAATTAAACTACTGTTGGGGATAAAGTGAAGCAGCTAATGTTTATCTAACACCCACTGACATATGTACTCATCACTGTGCAAAATGATATCCGCGTCTTCATCTCCCAGATAACCCCTGAAATCTATAAAAATGAAAAGTGAGATTTTAAAAGTTAAGTGATTTTTCCTAGCCCCTGGGGTTAATACAGAGCATACTAGGTCTGGATTGGCTGCAGTTACTTACTTAGTCTCTCTAGTTTATGTTTTTCCTACTGTGAGATTGGATGGTTATTAGACCTCTTTGAAAGGCTTGATGTAAGGATCAGATGGGATTGTTCTAATAAAAAGCACTTAAATATTACTTAGAACATAGCACATATTCAATAAATGTAAGTTATTATTAGAATTGTTATTCAGCAAAAGTAGGATTTGAACCCAAGGTATTTTGCTCCAAAGCTCATATTTCTTCTAGAGACCTTTACCTGATTAGCTGTGAATATCATCTACCTGTCCAGGTGTCCACAGATGCATCATCAGAGGCTGAGAAAATGAAGAAATTAAATTAATTATCTATTCAGAACTAATATGTTCATAGCACCATAACTGGCACAAGAAGAGAAACAAAAAAGCTACATAAATATGTAAATATATACATTAAGTTATACAAAGCACTTGGCTAGGCATTTGGGGAAGCACATGGAACAAAGTTTTCTTCCCAGAGGGCAAAGACACACAAGCAGGTATGTAACTAAGTGTAGTAGTTTGCTTTGGGGATGTACTGATAGAAATTCAGAGGGAGTTCTATGAAAACCCAGAGGAGGGAGCCCTTCAGGCTCATGGAGGAGGAGTAGGATTCTTGGAAGTTTTTCTTAGCAGGTGTCAGAACTGTCCCTTGAAGATTCTTGCCCTAGAAAGATTCTAATCCTGGAGAAAAGACACAAACAGGACACCAAGAACAATGTAAGATCCTATCTCATTGAGCTCCAGATTCGGCAAGACAGACAACTTGCCCTAAGAATTCTAAGATGAAAAACTAATCCCTCTGGCTGAGAGTAAGAAGAACATAGGGCTCTGGCTCCAGAGGAAAGCTGACAAAAAAGCCCAGAGGGCCATAAACTTAGATCTGTGGAAAAGAAGAGCAGGGTGCTCATTTATTGAGACCTACTATGTCTTACACCCACCTATTTAATCTCCATGACAACTCCATGATAAGGTCACTAAGACTCAGAGAAATTAAGCAACTTGGTGAAGGTCGTAGGGACCCAGGTCAGGGTGACTCTGAAATGTGTACTTTGAACCATCCTCAACCGTTCAAATCCTTCTCAATTCTTAGGGCTCCACTTTAATGTCACTCTCCTAACTTCCAATAGAACCTTATGCCTTCCCTGACAAAATACTTGGCTTTGAGTTATTGCCAAGTAAAATAGATGTTCAAGGAGTGTATCCCAAGAATAAAAGAATAGAGCAAAAGTAGTTTTAGTACAAAAATATCCAGAAATTTAAGGGAGTCCCTGGGGATGACTAGATGGGATGTCTAGATAAAAAAATGTTACCATAATCCAAGAATTTAGGGTTTCATTATATTTTAAATTTGGAAGTCATCCAAGGAATTTCTAACTCTTTGGTTTTTTTGTTTGTTTGTTTGTTTTTCTGTTATTTTCTTTTTTTCATTTTACATAACAGGAAACTGAGATCCAAAAATCCCACACGGGTCAAAATTAGATCCCAAATAGTCACCTGGCTTTTACATGATTGCACTTTTACTGTAAAAGATGAAAAGAGAGAGAATATATACGTGAAAACTCAAGTGATGAAGGAAAAAAGGGATAGCAGCTTACGATCTATTATTTTATTGCAAATTAATTAAAAAGCTCACGGGTAGATTAATTATTAGAAAGGGTCATGAGCCAAAGGTTATAATCCATCTAATTCTGTGAACTCATTTATTTATTTATTTTTGGAGAGGTTTTTGCTACAGGCGCGTGCACTTGCCAGACAGACAGAGACAGAGAGACAGAAAGCGAGAAATCACCCCCCAGGGGGTATGGCCACACTGCAATCCCTTCTCTTCCATTCTCCTCTTGGGACTTAGGCATGCACGCACATGTGCCCAGCGTGAGTTTAAGCCACCGGGTCCGGGACTCGAACTGCAGTCAACTACGTGGGAGTCCTGCAACATAGCCATTACGCTAACTGCTGGCCCCTGTGAACTCATTTAATAACAAGCAAATACCTACATAAACAAACATTTTTTGTGCGTACATAAAGCATTAAAGTGGTTTGAGGACAAAACAGTAAATGTATATTCAATGAAGAGATGAGTTGGGAACCAGCAGTTAGCGTAATGGCTATGTTGCAGGACTCCCACGTAGTTGACTGCAGTTCGAGTCCCGGACCTGGTGGCTTAAAACTCACACCGGGCGCGTGTGCGTGCGTGCCCAAGATCCCAAGAGGAGAATGGAGAAGGGATTGCGATGTGACCATCTCCCCTGGGGGGGGGGGTGATTTCTCGCTTTCTGTCTCTCTCTGTCTGGCAAGCGCACACGCCCTATAGGGGAAACCTCTCAAAAAAACAAAAACAAAAAAAAAAAAAGATGAGTTTAAGGCTTTACCAAATGCTCCCAACACATTTAAGGGGTGAGGTCAAGAAGCCTGAGGAACCTACATGACCTGGACTTTGTCCTTTCTCTTTTCCTGCTAGTCACAGGGAAAAAATAAGTTGGCATTTTGTTCTTGACAACCACAGTAAAATTACTAGTATTAATATATTATTTTTATAGTTTACCAAGTATTATAGCCTAGAGCATAGTTTGTTCTCAAAATAAATTTGTGAAGTAGTTATTTCCATTTTAAAGGTAGGAAAATAGAAGGAGGGGCAGCAAGGGCAAGGTGGTTAAGATGCTGGATTCCCATAGGACCGACCAATCAACCAACCCTTGTTGGAGTCCAGGACCTGGTAGCTTCCTTTCTCACATTCCCTCCCTCTCTTTCTCTCTGTCTCTCTCTGGTCAAATAAAAAAGAAGAAGAAGAAGAAGAATAAATAAAAATAAGTAATTCTTTTTTTAAAAAAAGAAACAAAATAGAAGGGTAGGAAGAGAAAGAGACTTGGGGGCAGCTGACATGTGCTGGGGTGAGTAGACACTAGAACTGAAAGTCTTGAGTTCAATTCCTAATCAGAGGGTGGGTAAATCCCAAATGTCTAGAAATATTCAAAACCATTGTGTATGATGATTTAAAAGCCCCCTGGAATCTAATATACTTTCCCAAACCCCTAAGCGCCCCAATTGAAGTGAGCCAGTAGTCAAGCCTCTCTTGGGGAAAAAGGGAGATTTTGAATTATATAATTTATGTAGTTCAAAATAGCTCTCTTTTCATTGAATAGCAACCTGATGACTTTTATAGGTGACTTGGAATTGCAGAAAGTGAAAGATTTGTTTAGGGAAATTCCTTATTCATGGCATTAAGCACTCTGAGATCCTCTTTCTCCCAGCCAGTCTCTGGAAACACATTCAGGATATAGTGCCATTTTCATTTTATAACTGAGAAACTGAGTTCAAACATTCTTGGCGTAAGACGGTATGCAAATTCTTCCCAAACCAGAAAGATCTGACTCTGGGATCTCCCGGTTTCAGAACCGTGCCATAATCCCTGCATACCACATTCCAGCTTTTATAGAGGGGATGTCTGAGTCATTTGCTCATCCTACAACTCTACATACTTTCACCAACACATATTCTCCACTGGTTTTCTCTTCCCCCAATGCCTGTAGCAATGATTCCAGCTCTCAGGAACACGGGGGAGATAAAGTCGCAAATTAGTAGAGTTCATTCACCTCAGCCTTCCAGCACACTGTCCACACACACACCTCACATAGCATATTTTTTTCTTACTACAGTATTTGAACAAATTGGTAACTGATAATTTGTAATCCACCACAACTAAAGCATTTTGACTTATTAAACACTTGGAGAAAAAGAAGAACTGTTTTGCCATAAGGGGGAGCTTTTGAGTTCCATAAAGTGGGGGAAAAAAATAAGAAAAAAAAGAAAGCACATGTATATCCCAGTTCAAAAACATCTACATAGCAGCCAATGGTCATATTCTTACCTGAGACTTGAACAATGTCAGAGGACCTGTATTCCTTAGGCTGAAAAAAATTAGACCAATTAATAGTTTTCTCTCATTTTTAATAGAAACTTAAAACAATTTCTAACAGCCAACAGAATGTTTTTAAGAGTATGGGGGGGAAATTCAGAGACCCAGTTGTGCTGGAGTCTATCTGCTTAGAAGTAGATACCCTGACCAATGTCTTTCTTCTGTTTTTCATCTGATGATTCCATGAGGATTTAGGGAACAACATTTGGGTTAGCTAAAGCCGGCAGCATGGGGGCTCAGGGAGAGAGGGACCGTTTATCATTGCATAACTTTGAGGACATTCTGAAAGGGAAAAGGGAAAACAGAAACAACAGAGAAGTCAAGAGAGAGGGTTTTTAGCAAAAGGGAGAGAGGAAGGGGGAGGGGGAGGGAGAGGGAGAAGGAGAGGGAGAGGAGAAAGGGAGGGAGAAAAGAGCAGAGAGAGAGAGAATTTTTAAAAAATCAAAGAATCAAGTTTCAAGACTCTTTATGTGCTACAAAAAGGGATGAGGTTTACCAGCAAAGTGCGAAAGGGATCCTGAGAGAAGAAATAGATTTTTCTCCCGCCAGGAGAAAAAAATAATAATAATAATGAGTGGGGGGTGGTGAAGAACGGGAAAAAAGCGAGCAAACAAAACAAAAACGGGAA